CACCGGAAATAACGCCGTGCATAGAGCCCATTCAGTTGAAAATCGGTCCTCTTCATAACGTAAGGATCACGTCCAACATATGTTTAGATTTTCTGTTGATATATTTCTCTTGTAATTTTCTGTTGATATATTTCTCTTGTAATATCGTCTAAAATAGTACAGTACGGATTTTCCTCCATCTCGTCCATTGCGCTCTTCACTCCTTGCCCTCCATCTGCATTCCACGCGTCAACACAATCATGTGACTGCAAACCACCTATTCAAAAAGAACTGATTTTCTTTGAATATATTTTAAAAAGTAATTTATTCCTGTGATACTAGTTGAATTTTCATCATCATTACTCCACTCTCCAGTGTCACATAATCCTTCAGAAATCATTCTAATAAACTGATTTGCTTTATTATTATCAAATTTAAAACGGTAGTGTCGCTTAATATTTGTATGAATAATACACACATTTCTAATATAATAAAACTAATGACTAGAAAGTTCAAAAGAACAGCATTTATTAGCAAATTACTTTTTTGGTAACATTATAAATGTTTTTATAATGTCATTTTTTATTAATTTAATGCATCCTTGGTGAATAAAAGTGTGCTGTACATTACAGTAAAACTATACATTAAATCAGTATATGTGTCTATAACATGTTATGTGATGAATATGACATTAAGACTTTGCTCTTTTGTTGTCAATGATTATGTTCTTGTCAAGGCTGAGAAGGGTGTTAAAGTGTTTTATCTCTTTATTATGGTCTCCGTTCAAATATTAGGAATTGTACAATAGTGAGTGTTTGTTTTTGATGTCTTTGACTGGCGACATGATGTCTAATTTTGTGTTTAAGGCAGGTCTTGTTATATTCTTACTAATATGATATGTTCATCAACATAGTATTTTACTACTTCCATATAGTAGACTGATGTTCTTCTCACCTTTAAGAGAAAAATAGTCTCCTGAAGATAACAGGTTTGTTTGTGATGTTCAGAGAGTTATCCAACTCAAGCGTTGTGTAAGCAGACAAGTTAACCCCATCAAGAGAAAGACAAAGTAATAACCAAAGGTCAACATCCTCCCAGTCATAAGACTGAGGTCACACAAATCTTATTTAGTAATCAACCGTCTTTGGAAAAACAGGCCCTTCACTGCTGCAGTGAAGCATTTTACAGAGCTAGCGGTCTTGCTAAACCAGCAGATTGCTAATCTTTTCTGTGTAATTGCTTTAAATAAAGTAAAAAAAAAAAATCCAACTATTACTGTTTACTGTAACCTGTGGTCTAACTGTAAACCTCTTTTGTTAGACAATGTAAAGCATACTTGGAAGTGTTTACAGTCCACATAGCTAGATAGTCAGCTATCATACATTACTTGCCTGCTTCAAACACGCACACCATGGGCTTTTGAGAGAGAGCAGCAGTGCTAATGGCAATAACATTACTAGCCTTTACTGCTGTGACATTCCTCCTGACCACAAGAACCAGGCGGGTGTCATGTGAAAGGTTGCATTACAGACTCATCCCGCGAAATTTATGTTCTGTTACAAAAGCAGTTGCGTCACTGGAACAACGCCCAGTCATGTAACTTAGTATTGGACGTCATGTAACCGCACCTTTGTGCTCTATGTAAGACTCATGACACCGGTTTTGATAACAGATTTGTATGTTATTTTAAACGTAAATAAATTATATAAATTGCACGAGTTCAGAATTATAATACTCATGGATCTAAATGCTCAATATTTAATAAGTGCTTTAGATGACATACAATTTCAGATTAGTCCATGGTCGTTACAATGTTTTGTAATGTTAGGTATAGACTGCCATCTAGTGGAAGATAACTTTCCTTTTCAATCCTCTTTCATCCAAAAGGAAATTTTACATTTAAAAAAAAAAAAAAAAAACCCACCCCCAAAAAAGATACGTTATCAGATATATATATTTTTTGAAAACAATATTTTTTTCAATAGTATAAGTAAATAGTTTTATATTGTACCATAGTATTTTTTTTTCATTCACATTATTTCATTAAATTAAAATCAATGCCACATACACAGTCAGTCAGAAATTTCACCTTTTGTTTTGTTTGTTTTTTTGCTCAGATTATTCTTAGAGCTGGTTGGTTTGGTTCAAGACTTGGTATTCTTTATTTAAAGGGATGTTAAACCCAAAAATTAAAATTGTCATGTACTCACCCTCAAGTTTTTCCAAACCTGAATGAATTTGTTTCTTCTGTTGAACACAAAAGAAGATATTTTGAAGAATGACTGTAACCAAACAGTTGTAGGGCACCATTGACTTCTATAGTAGAGAAAAAATACAATACAAAGTCAATGGGGACCAGAAAATGTTTAGTTACCCATTTTCTTCAAAATACCCCATTTTAGAGGAAAGAAATTGAACTTGATGGTGAGTAAATGGACACAATTTTCATTTTTGGGTAAACCATCTCTTTAAGAATGCTAATAAATGCTTATAGAGACAATTAAAGGGGAATGAAACTATTTGTAGTGTTGAAATCATCTCTGGGGTCGGTTTAAACTGTAGAACTCCAGCTGGATTAGTGTCGCTCATTGTGATTGAACGCTTTGGCTGCTGTCATGTCGGGTTTTGGACTGATCAACAGAGCCTTTGTGCTCCTTGTCCTCAGCTCAACCTCTCCCTGCTGTTATCAGATGATTCAAAACACACGTTCATTTGTTTCTTGTCTCCTCGCAGCAGATTAGTGTTGAGAAGATGAAAGAGCTGCTTCTGAAATTAAGCACATTAGTCTGTGTGTAGCTTAACTAGCCTATTTAAACTTTCTGTAGATGAATGGATGGGTCAGACACAACCTTAAAATGATATGATGAAAGATTGTTTCTGAAGGTAATAATTGCAATATGGATGGCTGCACAATGGTTTTGCACTAAATGTGCTAACCTTGAAATTCATGGGAGGCCACACAAATTAAGCCAAATATTTTTGGGCACAGTAGGCACCCCCTAAATTAAATGCTTATTTGGAAATAAAGAACGAATTAGCTAAAAACTACTTTGCCCTCATGGGCTGAGGTGTCCCTCTAGCAGGCATACCACAGTATGAGTGGAGTGGATTTCAGTCCATGCTAAAAGCATTCTGTAATGACTCTTTCTCTAATCCACTCTGCAGTTTCGATTTCTCACTCGCATTTCATCAAATTTAATGTAGTAATCTTTAAATTGTAGGTTATATGTCATGTTTCGGTTGTCTAGTAGTCGGAAATTAATAGGAGTGTGGGGCAAAACTGCCACCAAAATGAATAAAAATGCCTCAATTTGAGATTTGGGAGCAAAAATGTCCTTCTAATGAGTTGTAATATCACACTAGCTTGAGAGCTGTTTTTCTCAAATACCCTATCAGCATGATTGCAAATGTGATATTTATTTTATGTAACAATTCAATAAAAAGTTACTTTTTTAGATTTATTGCTTTATTTCGCAATGAAAATAGTTCCAAACAAACACAGCAGAACAGAGTTGCATCTTAATCTGCATTTTGAACGAATCAGTTGAATTAAACTGCGTCTGACAGAAGAGTCAACAGCGTTCGTGCACTTTTTTCTCGCATGAGAAAAATGTTTAGAAGAATTATGTAGTTTGTTGTTGTTTCTTTGACTACACACTCAAACGGTCTTGCGACCCACCAATTGAGAAACACTGGTATAGAAGATAAAACAGCATGTGAATGAATGTGATGTTCAGTACAAGACTAACAATGATCTCAAAATAAATCTATCTAGCCCAAACTGGCTTTTACATACAAAAAGTGTTTAAGAACATACACCAAGGGATAAAAGGCTTTTGCTTTAGGTAATGTGGCAAATTCTTCAGCAACAGAAGTTTCTCAGCCTTTATATTTAGCTTTAGATGTTTTGAATGTCGTCACAGGTGAACACAATTCTGCCAATCTATCGTAATATTGTAAAAACTGGAAGAACTGGTTGAGGAACAAAGTCTTTTCTTCATTATTGTGACTAATATCCAAGAGAAAATGGCTTCTCAAGCAGAAACAAAATGTAGGATGAGATTTAATTTTGTCCATCAGGAATTTATTGGATTATTAGACTGCTGTGGTCAATATTGAAAATGTATGTACTGTATACTGTCCTTGTCCAGAAAGGAAATAAAGACATCATCAAAGTTGTCCATGTGACATCAGTGGGTTTTGAAGCAACGCAACAAAAATTACGACTTTATTCAGCATTGTATTGTCTTACGGTTCTGTTGTAAAGAACCGGAAGATTTCAGTGACGCTGATGACGTAAGACTCTGCTACCGTGTATCTGGTGTGTGCAAGCTTCGTTCACAGTCTGAGGGAGATGCACGCTGTAAACAAAACACTCTTCGCAAACATGTCTAAGGATTTCGACACAGAGGAAGACTTGCATTTTTTTGCTCAGCCATATATATATATATATATATATATATATATTTGAACCAGAATACATACACCAGATACACGTCAGCAGCATCTTACTTCATCAGCGTCACTGAAACGGATTGACAACAGAACCGGGAGACAATACAATGCTGAATAAAGTCGTTATTTATGAACCAATGTGTGGACTACTTTGATGTCTTCTTTATTTCCTTTCTGGACAAGGACAGTATACCGTACATACATTTTCAATGGAGGGACAGAAAACTCTCGGACTAAATCTAAAATATCTTAAACTGTGTTCTGAAGATGAACAGAGGTCTTACGGGCTTGGAACCACATGCGGGCGAGTCATTTATGACATAATTTTTGGGTGAACTAACCTTTTAATTGATAATTGGTATGAAAAAGGGGGAAGGTATTGTTACTTCTAGTGCATTTGAATATTTTTACATTTGTGTGTAAATTTCCAGTAACAAATAATCTTTACAAAAAAAGATTAAATAGGGCAAGTATATATAAAAAAAAAACATGTACAGATAATTGTCCATTTCATAAATTTGAGTGCATTCCTAATAAAAAAAAATCTCAATCTCTTCTGTTTGCAGGTGATCACCTGTTTCGGGATCTCAGTTCTGACCTGTCGGTATGTGGGTTTTTCAGTGGTCGCGCTGTTGGTTGAGATCAATTCGATCTTTCTGCACCTGAGGCAAGTGCTCCGCATGGCCAGCCTGGCCAAAAGTACTTTTTACCGTGTCAACAGCATGATAAACCTGGGCACCTACGTGGTGTTTCGCATCAACACTCTGGCCTGGATGACCCGCTGGCTGGTGCTGAATCGTGACCTTATCCCCCTGGCCAGCTACACCATCGGCAGCGTGGGTCTGGCCATCATGACCGCCATGAACATTGTGCTGTTTTACCGCCTGATGAGAAGTGACTTCATGAAGTCCAGCCGTGAGAAAGAGGTGAGGAGTGAGAAGGAGAAAGAAATGTAGAAAGACGACGACGACTCCTGCTCTCCCACTACAGCTCCAACCAAATCCACTCTCATCGCCAACTGTTTCCAGACTTTGGGGAAAAACTTGCTGACTTCATTACTTCAACACCTGCTTGTCCAGTCATTTTGACTCCATCTCATGAAGACCTCAAGCTGTGCTAAGATATCTCTATGATGGCTGTTGTCACAGGTTTACAGATGTCTGAAACAGATGACATATTTATACATTCAACCTTATGGTCAAATACTCCTGCACGGTTTTTAGACAATGACTTGAGCGTATGAAACACATTATGTTTAATTTCAAAGGAACTGGATCTGCTTTCCTTAATCTAATCGCATGCTAATGCTGATTGACCGCACTTAATGTATACATTACCTATTAAATATGAGCAAATATTCTGCTCAATTACAAACTACTCAAGTAAGGTTAAAAATATGAAAAAAGAACATAAAAGTTTGATTTATTTAAGCTTGCCTCATTAACACCTACAGCTGCTACCTCATTAGCTTGTAGCAGGATCATCCTAATTCTGTACACAGGGACAATTCATCCAAAAATGAATATTCCCTTTCTTCTGTGGAACACAAATGAAGAGGTTTAGTTGAATGTTCACGCTGCTATTTTCCATACAATGAAAGTGAATGATAACCGGTGGCTGTCAAATTCCCCCCCAAAAAATAAAATCAGTTCATACATTTAAGGACAGATATTACATTTTTGGGTGAACTGTCCCTTTAATATATATATATATTTTTTTTGTAGTAGAATTTCTTAGAGCTGAATTGTAATTGAAACTCTCTGTACTGACTAGTAATAGTAAATCAGCTGACCATGGACAGGAAGTGCTCAGTGATCAGTACTGTATTTCACAAAATTGGGGTAGGATTTGATTTGGTCGTCATGACCACAGTCTTACCCTGAGCATAAAGATCACTGTTAGTAATTTACCCTTTAAGTGGAGGATCTAAATCTCCATGCTGGAGTCTTTACAACCGTTATCAGAATTAAAAACACCCCTGCTCATTATTATAGAGCAATATGTGTGAGGTTTGAGATCTGACAGGACTGTCATTGCACAAATCATGCCTTTAGGTGGCACTACACACACACACACACACACACACACAAACAATGAGACCTCATGTTAGCTTATGCTAATGCTTAGACTATAGAGAGGCATGGTTAAAGCAGTACTTATTTTGATTTAAAGGTGCAGATTTTTTTTTAAATGCAACTTTGTAATGTTTCTTTTTTTGTGTGTGTTTTGTATAACTGTAATTTATTTGTCCTTAATATCCTTGATTGTTGTGGTTTGATGCAAACTGCAAAAAAAAAAAACTTTTTTTTCAAACACATTGAATGGTGGAACACTGTTTTGTGCAAAATGATGTTGTGATTTTGTTGATGGTGAACAAAGAACGGTCCTGGTGAGATGTACTAAAGTAAAGGCATTTATTTGTTTAGCCTTATTTCATGTACTCCGTGCCATTGAGATTATAGACTGAAGTCGGATTATAATTTGATTGGGCAATAGTGGCCTGTTTATCCGGTGGGAATGTTGACGCACTATAATCACATGTAGCATCACCGACTTGTGCCACAAAAATATTCTTTTCAAATCACCAAAGTTTATTCATAATGTTTCTTTCAGATACTCCTGCCTTATTTTACTGATTGAAGAACAGATAAAGCTGCTCATGTCAAAACTATTGCAGGAACTTGAAAGCACGTGAAAAATAGAAAATGTAAACGTTTGCATTGAAGTAGTAAAACTGAGTTTTTTTAACTATTGGCAGCTTCACGTTGAGACTGTGTGCTTGTATATGTGCTCCCTTAGTGAGGTAATTGGTATTTCAATGTATTTAAGAAGGAAACATTTTCAATTTTAGTTGAGAGAAAAGCTGATGTGACTTTTTTTTAAATAGAATTGCAGCAGTTTGATTGTCATTTACTTGAGAGTGGAGTTCTGTACTGTGTTTGGTGAATGATAAGTTACTGTTTTATTGTGGATCTGATTTTTTTGACCACAGTGTTGCAGTTATCCAAAGCCAGAATTTCTAAAAAATAAAGAAATCCCAGCTGAAAAAATAGATTACCATGCCCATGCCTATAGGAGAGCAGAACAAAATTATTATTATTATTATTTTTTTTTTACCCTTGCTGTATGAGTTATCCCAATGAACTGAATTTTAAACAATTGTATCTAAAAATGTATATATATAGCATAATAATTTTATTTTTATTTGGGTGAATTTTGTAATTAATATAAAATTATTTGTTTGACCATTTTGTTGTCAATTGTGAAATAAAACATGTTATTAACACTTTATTTGAAGTTTTTGTTTTATGGAAAAGATAAGATGGTATAAGAGGATTTAATAATCATATATGATTTACATTAAACCAAATCATTTTCCTATTATTTGACTTTTTTTAATGTTGCTTCATGCAAAATTAGTGGTAGAATTAGTCAATTTCGTCTCTGCTAATGAAGATGATTTAAAAAAGAAATAGTTCAGCCTTCCATGTTACGAATCAACTCCCATACTAAAAATACGTTCTGGAACAGCGTTCGTATGCGAGTGGAGCGGATTGGCGACAGAAATTTACACTCGTCTTTAACTCCACAACCGCGCCTACTGAAATTAATTATAGAAATCAAAGCTCCCTGAATTCACTCTCATACTTCCTGGTTCTAGTGAGAACTCTAACTTCTGCGTTTTGGACCAACTGGAGTTTGTTTATTAAGCGTACAGGGCAACCACCCAGTAGAGCATTACAATTATCTAGCCTGAGGTCATGAACGCATGAACTAGTTGTTCCGCATTTTTCATTGAAAGCATATGTCGTAATTTAGATATACTTTTAAGATGGAAGAAATCGGTTTTACAGATCCTAGAAACGTGGCTTTCAAATGAAAGATTGTCCTCCCCAGCGCACGATATTTACTTCGTACACTAAATTTTGCTGTATTATTTCTAATGTGGTGGAAGCGGGAAACCACCGCTCCTTGCAGCCATACAACTCCACTCCGCAACACAAATGAAGCCACAAATAGCCTAGTCTGTAACAATAAACAATCCAAATAATAAAATATGAATAAACAAAAGATAAAATGACAAAAGCCATCTGTCTCTGGTGGTCTCGAGTGATATCATTCAAACTATTCGTTTCGCGAAATGTCCCATTTGCTATGCTAATTAGTGCTTTGGAAACGCCGCTCGACCAATCAAATTCGAGGACTGAAACTAACTGTTGTAGCTAATACAGCTGTGCTAAATTAGACATTAGTTTAGATATTTTTAATACATAATGCGCCTTAGCTTAATGTGTTGTTGCGCGCGTGAGATGATCGGATCTGCAGTGGAGTTTCCTCAGAGCATCGTGTTTCCTACATCAGTTGCATCATTGCCCTGGCTGAAGGAGCCTCTTCCTGCTGTCTGTCATCGCGATGATGCTGTTCAGTAGGCTAGATACAGGGCAGACGAACACGCTTGTGCCAGCTAAACGCCGGGATCACTTTAATCTATCGTGACATTGTCGGATAAAACAATTGTAGCCTACTTTCACCAAGATTGTAAAGGATTCATGGTTCTCGTGAAACCTCTGCCGTTAGTCCGTGGCATATCCGTGTTTTATTCTCCCATTGAGATGTGTATTGATCTTCTTTAAAGATGTCGTCATCCTGTATGTTCATGGGTCGGTTCGTTGAAGGGCAGAGATGTGGAAGTGAAGGAGCTCGTTCATCCTCTTCATTATAACGCCTCATCTGTTGGATACTAATATGGAAAACACGGTGAGTGCTGTAATATTATGCGCAGTGTTATCTAAGCCTATAAGGCTTTTATTGTTATGTAGCCTATATGAGAAAGATGACTATTTAACAGATTGACATTTATGTTTTACGATGTAGCCTGGTTGTATTAAGGTACCTTCGAGAAGTCGACATTAGCCTAAATGTTTCTAATAACCTCGCTGCTTTATGAAGAATAACGCTCAGAAGTTTTATTTGACATCATCACACGAATAATAGCCTACGTCAAAACAAAATGTTCAAATTATCAAGTATAAAAATGTAATATCTTTTGCTATAGTGATATAATATAGTAGCTTAATAATAGGCCTTAAAATATTTTGTTCGTGCTTATATGTGCTCTTAAGATGCACTCTATTTTAAATAAAATGCATGGTGTCAATAAAATTACTATAAATAAAGTCCAAAATATTATGAATGAATCAACCTAGGCTACATTAGGTCACACCAACAATTTAAGGGTCAGGTCAGCAGATACAGAAGAACTATTCAGAAATTCAGTCATTATTGTTTATCTTTTTAAGGGCCTTTTTTTTAGCTTTATGAGGGGGGACATGTAAAATTATAAAATAAATCATTAGGATAAATATCAGATAATGCAGAATTTTGTACCACATTTTGAATTTCATGGGTATTTTTGTCAAATTTGGTGGGATTTTGCAAGTCTTTATTCATTTCTGACCCTTAGTGTATGTAAATTCATGGGGCCCGGAACCAAATATGGGTCCACAGAGAGTAGGCTAAGCTAGACCTCTTATTACGAGGCCCGGGACAACATTCTTCTCTCATATGTTGTAGGTAATATATATCAACACAATATATTTTCAAAATGTTCTGTAATCCGGTTTTCAATAGAGTGGTGCAGAGATGATGTAGCCTATTTTTGTAGGAAATTAGCATCATCCTGGTCTCTTTTCGACAAAAACCCAATAGGATTTTTCCATTGGCTCTTGGATTATTGCAGAAAGTAGGTCTGTGAGTGTGACTAATACAAGCATATGTTTCTTATGCATTTTGTTTTTCATGACAATCTTCACAAATGAACACAACATTTATGAATTTTAAAACATAAATACAATCTTCAGAGGTCAAAAGCTAATGTTTGGCTATAAACAAATTTTAGCCTTATAACTTCAACGCCTCAATCACTTAACTTCAGACAACTCTTTCAGTCTTCACTAATAAACATTTTCCCTGAAAGTTAGAGTATAATAGTTTGCAAGCGCACGATTATAACACAGGCTGTGAAAATGAACTGGTGAGATGAGTTTACCTGTTCGGATGATGATGTTTAATGTCCCCGACAAACTCCCTTAAGTCTCATTTAACCACTTTTAGCTACCGTCTTTACAAGACAGTAAACAATTGTTTATTACTGAGACATACTACTATATCAATGAATGCTTGAATATGATTGGTTGACAAACGTTCTAAGGTGTGTAATTAGTTTCAGATACCACGGCTAAAGTAGTTCCAGTTAGGTCTTGACCGCGTTACATTTCTATATCACTTCGCTAAATGATTACAGTTATTTCAAAGGTCATTAAAACCCACAATGGCAAAACCAAGCAAGTAAACTATAGGATAAAAATGACAAATTATTTCCCATGTTTTTGAGACAAAATTACATTTTATTATGTATGGAAAGCACATAATCTCTTTTCTCTCTCTCTCTCCACTCACTCAAACGCACACACATATGGGCACACTCTCAGAGACATGTTGTCAGTGTTGCTCTGACGATTTTATCAGTAAAATAGTTGAGCAAATTAAAAGCTACATGACATTTCTCAAGAGAGAGATAATAACGGCACTGTTCAATTTCGCTATTAGTAGAGACGCTGCTGCAGAACACTATTAAGTGATGCACAGACTCAGGTAATACGCTTAATCTCTTTCTCTTTAACTTCATCATTAATTACTGCATTAGTCTGCTATCAATAAGTTAAGCCTCAGTTACTTGCACTAAAATAATGTTTTGGAATTAGCAACGGAGGCGTGGGAAATCAGTTAGAAATTAGTCCTACACACAAGAGTGTTTTATTCAGTACAGAGCAATTATTCCTTACGTGTTAATTATGTCGTAGAATATAAAGTGAAAATATTTTGAGCTTGTGTTTACTACACTCAAAACTCAAAAACAAAGGAGAGCTGGATCCAAATCCAGTTATTTTATTTGAAAGAATATACATAACAAAACAAACATGCAAACTAGAAAACGAATCGGTTACCTAACGTAACCTCGGTTCTCTCTAGATGAGGGAACGAGTATTGCGTAAGCTAGCTTACGCTACGGGAAAGATTCATCTTTGCTGAGAAGTTGAAGCCAAAAAATTATTCCATAATTTTGTAATCATTGTCAACGCAGTCTCCTCTGAGGCAGACCATGAGCGGGCTAGCTAGCGGCTCATTGGTTCGCTCAGAGAGAATGCACGAACCTATGGGAGAGCGGCGCTGAGTCCGCGGCCAATGAGCGGACGGCGCTCGCTCACTGCGTCACAGCCCGCCAAAAGGGGCGTGGCTACAGTGTATAAAGGTCGCTCTCCCAGCTCGTTCGTTGATTCTGTAGCATGAAGCGAAACGCTAGTGGCGCAAGCACGGCCGGGAACGCAATACTCGTTCCCTCATCTAGAGAGAACCGAGGTTACGTTAGGTAACCGATTCGTTCTCTTACGAGAGGTTCTCTCGTATTGCGTAAGCTAGCTTACGCTACGGGAACACCTGGTCAACGCCGTGCGCGCTAAGTAACCACTAAGCATCCCAGGGGAAACACCGGGGGAATCTAAAGTGGATGAAGATAATACGGCGGCCAGCATAGCGGCCGTTATCATCTAGTGCAAAACGCCCAAGGCGGCCGGCGAAGGCGGGCCGTGATGTGTAGGCTAATGCATAAGCACATAGGGGAACACAAGGGGTGAGCCGGTTGTGATGGAACTCCCGATAGTGCGGCTTCTATAGGAGGGCTGTGAGTACTAGACCGCCAGAATTTTAGCCTGTAAGGCTGGAACTTCCAAGTTATAAAACCTGACAAAAGTGGAGGGGGAGGCCCATCCCGCAGCCACACAATGTCCTGGATGGAAATCCCGCAGGACCATGCCCACGACGAGGCCATGCCTCTGGTGGAATGAGCCCTGATGCCCAGAGGGCGAGGCAGGTCTTTAGCGGCATAAGCAGAGGCAATCGCGTCTACTATCCACCTGGCTAGGGTCTGTTTCGAGGCGGCTAGTCCCTTGGTGCGGCCACCGAACGACACAACAGCTGCTCCGAGCGTCTGAACGCGGCAACGCGTGTAGTGTGCACTCTGATAGCCCGAACCGGGCAGAGGCGGTCAGCGTCTCGTTCGCTATCGGATGCAGGCAGCGCCGATAGAGAGATCACTTGCGCCCTGAAAGGGGTACCAATCGCTTTTGGAACATAACCGTGTCTAGGCTTTAGAATGACTATGGAGTCACTCGGTCCAAACTCTAGGCACGCGGCGCTCGAAGACAGCGCGTGAATGTCCCCCACACGTTTTACTGAAGCGAGAGCCGTCAGAAGAACGGTTTTTAACGAGAGGTATTTTAGTTCCACGGACTCAAGTGGTTCAAACGGTGGGGCTTTCAGAGCTTCTAGAACTATAGAAAGATCCCAGACCGGCACCGTAGGGGGCGAGGGGGGTTCATCCTTCTGGCTCCCCTGAGGAAGCGGATGATTAGCTCGTCTTTGCCCAGAGACTGGGCGCGCCGGGGTTCAACGAACGCCGCGACGGCTGCCACGTAAACCTTAAGAGTGGATGGGGACCTGCCTTTATCCAGCATCTCCTGAAGGAACACTAGCAAAGACGAAACCTCGCACGTCCGTGGGTCCAAATTCTTGTCGGTGCACCATTTGGAGAACACAGACCATTTTGCAGCATAGAGCTTTCTGGTAGAATCCGCTCTGGCGTGTTTGATCGTGTTCAAAACCCCTTCTGGCAATTCGACGCGTAGTCGTTGGTCACCCATGCATGAAGCGCCCAGCGCTGTGGATGGGGATGCCAGATCGAGCCGCGGGCTTGAGTGAGGAGATCTGCTCTGATTGGAATGGGCCACGGGGCTGTCTGTGACAGCCGCGTTAGCTCCGGAACCAATCTGATTCTCCCAGCGCGGGGCTATGAGGAGCACCGAGTGGCGTGAGTCCCTGATTCTCTGAATGACCTGCGGTAGCAGAGAAATCGGGGAAAAGCATAGAGCGGGCGGCGGGGCCAATCCTGGGCTAGCGCGTCCTCGCTCTTTGAAAAGAATATTGGGCAGTGAGCGTTCTCTTCTGAAGCGAAAAGATCTATCTCCGCTCTGCCGAATAGGCGCCACAGTGTTTGGACTGTTTGAGTGTGCAGGGACCATTCTCCGGGGGAGACCAGGTTCCTGGACAGGCTGTCTGGACCGTCGCTCAGATGGCCCGGCACGTGCGTCGCTCTGAGCGAGAGCAGGTGACTCTGGACCACAATAGGATGCGGCGTGTCAGATGAAAGAGATTCTTGGATCTGACGCCGCCCTGACGGTTGATGTATGATACCACGGCCATATTGTCGGAGCGAATCAGGACGTGGTGACCGTTTATGCGCGGGAGGAAGCATAGCAGCGCGTTCTCGACCGCGATCATATACAGACAGTTTATGTGTAGGGAACTCTCGTGGCTCGACCACTGGCCGGCGGCCGGTGAGCCCTCGCAAACCGCTCCCCAACCCGAGTTGGATGCGTCTGTCGAGATAACTTTCCGGCGAGAGAAGGTTCCCATGGTAACGCCCCTCTGAAACCACTCGCTTACTGCCCATGGCTGCAGTGCAGTGATACGTGTCTGAGTAATCCTGATCATCTGGCGGCCCGTCGTCCACTCGTGGTGGGATACGCGGCTCTATAACCAGAGTTGAAGGGGGCGCATGTGCAGAAGACCCAGCTGTAGCACAGCGGAGGCTGAAGCCATATGACCCAGCATCCTCTGAAGCGATTTCAGGGATGTATGGG